TATATAAGATATACTAAAATATTATATCAAATTATTTAATACATATTGGTTGACAGGTATAGTTGGTTTATTTCATTAAATAAGGTACCTAACTTGTCAAATGAGCCATACATAGGTGGGTAATTGTTAAATTCTAAAAAAACACTTGAATCTATTTATTACTATTAATAATTATTTACTATTTAGTATTATATAATATTTGGTATTTAATATTTACTAATTAATAAACATTTATGTGTGCCTACCTAGTACACATGTGTATAAATATTTATATTTGAATTAACGGATAAGAGGACGTTACAGTGCTACACCTGCATGTCTTGTCTCTATCACACACGTAACATAATGAATCTACGTACCTACCAGATTGTTACTACAGTTTATTTTTAGATAATATTAGAGCAAATTTACATACCATCGAATTTGTAGAAAAGAATATTTACTATGTCCAAGCAAAGAGTTGTCTTTTCACGTATTAATTTTAAAATGAGTTATATGCATTTGGAAAATAAATTATTTGAGTACTTTTAGCTCATTTCAAAATAAAATTATCCAAGAGAAGATAAAATATATCAATGATTTATACCTACATATATATACATATAAATAGACATATCGTCATAAAGATAATAGTCAATGACTGTGGTGTCGATGTTGGTATTTATCTTATTTTTTAAAAATATTTTACCATAGTATAGCTAGTAGGTATTGTTCTGAAGATATACCTACTATAAAAATAAGCATTGTGGACAATATTCCAAACTTTAATTTAAAAATACAATCATGATGTATTCAATATTTATAGTTAAATCTATAAAATAAATAAATAATAATTATTGTTGTAATTATAAGTTTTCAAGAAAATTATGAATGTTTTTTTTTTAGAAAATGGTCGTCTGAGTTACGAGAATCCAAACTATCATCTTGCTGGAACGGGCCACTTAGCCCTGGATGATGCATTGAACTCAAACCTAACATCAGCTACTGACTCTCCAGCTGGGTTCAATTTGAATGATGACTGTATATTATATTCAGAGCTTTTGTGTCGGGAATTTGACACAGTTTGCAATATTAACACAGACAACATTAACAGAAAACGCTACAAATCGTTAGACTTGGGATCAATGGGAGTGGACGTGTTGGGACAAACAGGAAAAAATTGGTAATTTATTGGTCTAAAATTAGAATTTAAGTAAAAAATTACAGAAAACCATGTGGGACTTTTTGTATAGGAATACAAATTTGAATCGTAACGTGACAAGAGACATGAATATTACAAATCAACATGATTTAACAAATGTTAGCAACCAAAACCACCAAATGCAAGTGTCGTACGTAAAACCAGATTTAATCGAAGAATCGGAGCAAACAAAATGTAAAGGCGGGAAGTAAGTTTATTTGATCGATCAATAATACATGTTCTATATATGTACCATTGTACATGTTATATTATGTATTATATTTATTAGTAATCAAATAAAAAATTTTTAAAAATGTTACTCCTACAGTATAAACGAGAAACGCACGCCACCCAATACTCTATCTTTAAACAAACAAAAGGATACATCTAATATAAATATGGATATACAACACATACAAGGTGATTTGAATAATGATTTGTATGCAGTTCCGATGAAAAATAATTCACACGAATTCACTGATGAATTGCCAGCCGGATGGGAAAAACACGAAGGTGCGTAGAGTTATAAAGCGTTTTTTCTTTTCTTTAAATGAACTAAAGGTATTGGACTAATTCAATTTTAGATAACGATGGTCCTTATTATTGGCACATTAAAAGCGGAACGATTCAAAGAGAACCTCCTGAATACAGTGGTAAAAATGAACCAAAAACACCATTGGTCAAAGATGCAGAATCGGTATGACAATATATAGCTTAAAATATTAAATGCCTATAGGTAAACTATAGTATTATACTATAATCAATTCCATAATATTAAATTGTAAAAAATTAAACAATAACAAATTATTTCAGAATTATAAGTTTTTAACAGCTCTACTTAAAAATGTAAATCTGTAATTTACGCATAAAAATTGTAGTATACCTAACTTAATTTTTAAAAAAAAAACTTTGAAACTTTTGAAAATATTAATTATTAAAACTATAATATAATGTATCGGTATTTGTTTAAGGTATTGAATAGTTTTCAAAATAACACCGGAGGTTTAGTAAGTTCAGTGACTAGAAGTACGACGAGCTCCGCTCTTGAAAATCTTTGTTACCAAAAGAATAGAAAAGAAGACATGGCTTATAAGTAAAATATTAAATAAAATAGTATAGCATTCGAAACATATCTACCAAAGTTGATTTCACTAAATATTATGTTATATGTTTTAGACGAAGAAGTTATCCAGCTCGAATCGAAAACGAAAACAAAGGTATACGATTTGCTGTGCGTTCTTTGGGATGGGTAGAAATTTGTGAAGACGATTTAACTCCAGAAAGAAGTAGCAAAGCTGTGAACAAGTGTATTGTTGATCTATCACTTGGGCGTAACGACTTTATTGATAATGTTGGGAGATGGGGGGACGTGAGTACCCATATCAGTGTACCTATAAGTGCCTAACTGCTAAATAAATATAATTTTTTTAATGGATTTCAGGGAAAAGATCTCTTTATGGATTTGGACGAAGGAGCGTTGAAATTAATAGATCCAGAGAACCTCACTGTGTTGAATACGCAACCAATACACACAATCAGAGTATGGGGAGTTGGACGAGACAATGGAAGGTTTGTTAACCATTGATATCATATTTACATTGTTACCTACATTAATAATGTATTGTTTTTATAATCCATTGTTATTCTTTTTTTCAATGCTTAACCCACAGGGAAAGGTAATAATAATAATACATACAATTTAATTATGAGTTTAAAAAATAATAATAATAAAATATAAGAGTAATATAGTTTAGTGGCATTAAGTAATCCATACATCGAACTAACAAAATTATTTCTTAGGGATTTTGCGTACGTAGCTCGTGACAGAATAACCCGCCGACATATGTGTCATGTGTTCAGATGTGACATGCCTGCTCGTACGATTGCTAACACTCTTAGGGACATTTGTAAAAAAATCATGATCGAACGCAGTCTCCAGCAGAACCTTTCTAGATCTACAGACATAAGTACACACTAAAACATGTTATTTTTTAAAACGGCGATTAATTAGTACCGTTTCGTAGATACTGCAACAAAAATGAATCAGCCGGTTAGACCGACAAACCTTCCACTGGAGTATCGCAAACGTAGAAGTTACCGGGGCAGTTACTCTGCAACCACCAACTTGAGTATACTATTGTGTCTTCTTGTATCATTCACTTATGTAATAATTGTGCAATATTATTTTCAAAGCTCAATCATTCCCTACGCCGATGGAAGAACCACGTAAAGTCATTCGAGCCACTTACTTGGGTTCAATTGAAGTGAGCAAAGCATCTGGAATGGATGTACTAAATGACGCGATTGTCGCTTTGGAAAATTCTCCGACATCGGTACCCCAAACGGTTACAGTGGCTGTAGCACCTTCAATGATTACCATACAACAAGACACTGTAATACGATAGATATTCAAAAATACTCGGACACACAACTATCCACATACCTAATATCTGTTGATTTTCAGGATGAAGGAGATCAAATGGTTGAATGTCGAGTGAGGTATTTATCATTTTTGGGGATAGGTCAAAATATAAAACAATGCGCTTTTATAATGCATACTACCCAAGATCTATTCATTGCACATGTGTTCGAGTGTGATCCATCCGCCGGAACACTTTGTAAAACTATCGAAGCTGCATGCAAAGTATGTCAAACAGAAATCATACAAAATAATATTATGTACAAAGATTGTTGTTTACGTTTTCTTTTTTCTTTCTTCAGTTACGATACCAAAAATGTTTAGATGCACATCCTCAAGGTTTGAATCCAAATGCATCTCTAAGTCACAATATTAATAGTCCAAATGTAAATGGCATATCAAGGAAAGGTATCAGTTCTACATTAAAGTCATTAGTCGGCACCATCACAGGTCGTAAAATGAAATTAACCCAATCCTGAGAAGAAGTCTTCACGCTACAGGTTAAAATTAATAACTAAAACTTAAAAAAACTTATTTACATAATTTTTATATAATTTAGGAAGAATTAACGAATCCTGGAGTGCGTGAAGTAATACCACATCGACATTTGCAGTCTCCACACACTATAAAATATTATGCTCTATCGACCAGTTTACAGTCGTTGTTGTCACCAACCATTGACAACCGGACCATAAATAACCCTTACTAATTATTTATTAAGACACTAAATTGTGACTTATAATCACTTAGGGAAATGAAGCATATGACGTAACTTTAGTTTACTCATTTTGAGATACCACTTATCTAAATAGGTTATAGAGTACAATAGAAGACAGTCCTTGGTCCTTGAATATGTTGTAATATTATGGACTTGATCTTTCTTGTCCTTCAGAAGCTGTGTATTATTAAATAATAATGTATACTTATAAATATAAATATATATATAGAAATTAGGCCTTCAAATGTTGCTAAAATTTATAATACTATGAAAAAGAATCTCATTCAAATTAAGCCAAAGCTGGTTTTTTAATCATTAGAAAATAAAGATGACAATAACCTGAAGTTTTACAAGCATGTAGACAAATATTTAAAAAGCACCTTTTTTATTTTTCTTAAATGCTCTCCACATATCAAGCTTAATTTATTATATTTTTTTTGACTGATAATTTTTTTCTTCAAACATAATTATTTAAAACCTATTTATAAATAAAACAAAATTAAATTCCTACTATTGAGTGATCTCAAAAATTTTGGTACATGGGTTATTTGTAAATTAAACATAGCTTGTTAAAAAGTAATTCTTATTTAGGGAATATGCACAACTATATTGATGTTGTGAAATTTAGAGCTAAGCTTTATAAGTGTTAAAATAAAAAAAATAAATAAAAATATTAACAAGTTCACTTAAATTGTACATTTATTCAATATTATGACAGTCTTAGTTTTTATTTTTATTTTCCAATATTGGTTTACATCGCCTAAACCGATTTACAAAAGTTTAAAAGTATTAATAATTAATAAGTGTGTATTATTACATATTCATTCATAAAGTTTCAACATTTTAAATGGAAAAAAAAAATTATAAAAACAAACCCTTAACTTTTCTACCAACTACTTGACGGTCATAGAGTGCATTGAACTTGTTACAGTAATCATTTACTTCATTACTACATTTTGTCAATACTCCTAAATAAGCAATCAGTGCTACATCATTACAATGTGTATACAAATCCCTGTAAAACTCTCCAGATTCCATAACTGGCAGTCGATGACACAAAGAAACGAATTCCCTAGAAAATAGAAAATGTTTAAATATAATATATTTTTTATTGACAGATAATTTATAACTCAATTTATTTAATTGTTGTTGAATTCATAATTGGTATTTTTTTTATTATTATTATTATGCTAACATTTCTGGTTATTATTAGTTTTATAACAAACACTAAATAAAATAAGATTTGTTTATTATAATGTACTTAATATTTTATAGAACAATTAAATCAGCCATTTTTAATTAACTAATTTATCTAGTACTATACTAATTGTATTTAAAGACAAATATATCTTGAGCAAAAGAATGGTAAAATCAATAACTTTCTGGTATGGAAAGCTCTTAAATTGAAGATATCTTTGAGTGTGGTAGATAGACGATGTAGTATGTAATTATAAATACTAAAATATGTTACATGTACATCTAAAAATTGTTTAAACATAGCAGAATGAAAAATAAATTAAGCAATTGAAGAAGATAAGAGAAACTTAAAAATTAAATTAAATTACAACTTAAAGCTATTGCTGGTATTTTATAATTTATACTAAGGACCATTTGTACTGTCTACGGTTACACTTCGATTACAAATAATCGGAGATGGTACAAATGGCCCTTAATGTTATAAACATACAAGTAATTGTTTTTAAGGGCATATTATGATACTGAGATTTTCAGTCGTTGTCTAACACAAGAGCGACATAGGAATTTAGACTATTCCTTACCAAACGTACCAATTTATCTAATGTAAATCCCCCAATTTCCTAAAAACGTTACATTAAAAAAAAAAAATATTTACAAATTGTTACATTTTAATTTTTGGAGAAGTTAAAATAAAAAAAAATCACAAATGTGGTTAAGTTAATCTTAAGTAGCCTTCTCAACAAATTCCAATTTGTTTACAGAATTCTTATCACTTCACTACATTAGTTGGCAAAGAATATGTCTAAAATTCTATATTGCGCTTATGTTAAACAAAGACAGAAAATCACAATCACAGTATCGAATCTACAAATGGGTATTCTAGACAAATTTTTAAGTGAGCACATATTATGTGTTCTAGTTTTGGACAAATGTTGTAATCATTTTTTCATAATTTATTATGATAAATTTTTGGGCTGAAATGTTATACCATATGTTGTCAGTTGTCACTGATTATTAATTTTATTTTAATATAAACTGGAGAAATTGCACTTAAATGCAAAAAATATGTAGATTATACACATTATTTAGGTTTATTATATAAAATTAATCTTTGTATCGAAACATATTTGTTCAAAATTAAGCATTCAAAAAGTTATATCAATTATGTACTGATTAACTGAGAACATCAGTCACCCATATTAGAATTCAGACCTTAATACAACTATACGGGTCAATATGCAACTACTATATATCGATACATATCTAATAAGTTTTTTTGAAAATCTTGATTGGTTTTAGTATGAATGTACTCTTCTTTTTTTTTAACAAATATTTTTATCCTGACACTCTGACCCTTAAACAGTTATTAGTAGGATTCTATTATATTTCAACAAGCACTGTTTATTTATATATTTAGTAGTATTATATAAATCTAACAATATTAAGTATTAATAATTTAATTTATATTTCAAATTTATGGATTTCAAAATGTATGAATTATTTATTATATAAATAAATACAAAACATTTATAAATGGGGAGGGGGATAAAGCTCCAAAGGCTTAAGGTGTTACTAGTGCCTAGGCCTAATATTTTTTATTGAAAAGGCAATCAATTCTTTAGGTACTAACAATAATATTAATAGTAGTTAAATTTCCCTAAATCTTAAATTTAAATATATTCACCTCAATAATTCGTTGTTCACTGAATCATCAGATTTCTTTACTTCCTTCAAATACTGGAGTAACATTTTAACTCTACTATGGAGCATCTTGATGGCATTAAACTGAACAGTTAATGTTTCAGCAACCAAACTATTTTCTTGTGCATCATTGCTTGACATTCGTGCAACATGATCAACACCAATACGTTCTGCATCTTCAGTAGATAAGGTGTATGTTAATTCAACAAATAACATTTTTGGCACTCCATTCATTATATCAATTACGGATTCATATACTTTGACTGGCAGATCGGTATGTCCACCATGAGGATCCATTTTCAAAAATATGGGACTTTCAGCAATATTTATGATTTGCTTATGCACATCAATATCACGAAATGTTGGTTTATCTGAACCAGTACCAGTTATGTACCATCCAAGAAAGTCCAAGTCACAAAATACCTAAAACAATAAATAGAAAATTAGAAAAAATAAGGATCTGAATGTTAAAACATGATACTGATATTTATCTAACCTGCTTGAATTGTTCTTCTTTAGAGTTGTAGTAATCTCTATCAATAACCATCGTCACATTATCTTCAAGTACAGTATATGACAGTTCAAAAGAGTTCATTATTTCAAGAGTTCGATCCTTTTGTTTACCGATCAAGGCACCGATTGAAGGTACTGAATTACCAACTTGAGCTGTTAAACGAGTCCAATGTTCAGATATATTAAGAATGACTAGTGGATGTAAAGATATAGATACACTGCCCGTAACATTTGTGGCTAGAACATTATTTTGGGGTTCGTCTACTTCCATTTCCACACTTGTGTTTTCCATATTGGAATAAGCTTATTTAATTATAAAAAATAATGAAAAATTTCTCACAATCGGGACAGAATTCAATTTACTGAGATAGTGAGATGAATGAAATAATACTTTTAAATTTAAAAAAAAACGATATTAAAAATCTAAAATGTTCGATAGTCGAATGACAAACACCTACAAATTCTATGATGTTATCACATTGATAAGTGATGTTCATCCCGACAAATTGTAACCACAAAAGTTACCGTAAAACCAAAAAAAAACCATAGTATATTCGTGGTAACAACGAAACACAGTTGATATACAACTCCATAACCATAGTACATAGATAATAAAGAGATGGTGAATAATAATAATACATTTATATTACATATATGATATATCTATATTGTCTAATATCTATGTGACTACGTCCAAATCTGAAATCACGAGTGTGGCGTTGAGGCGTAAACTTATTGTGTTTTAATAATTTAGTGTGTAGCTGCGTAAGTAATAAGTATATACAATGTACAAGACTGTTACAAAGCTGTTCTAAAATTGTATACTTCTTTTCAAATATGGCGAACGGTTATGAAGATTCAATGATCTTCGAATTCGAAGAATAAAAAACATAAAAAGCGTTGTATGCAAGAATGAAAGACCGCGTTTTAGTGCAAAGATAGAACCGTTTACTGCTTTAACGGATTCGTTAAATTGTAAAAACTTATAAATTATAGGCCAGGGAAGGTTTTAGAAAGACGATTAATTTGTGTAATATTTTGGGAATCGATAGTGACAGTTTTCAAGGGGTTCGACATAGGCAATTTTTAAATTTTATGCATGCGGGTCTTGTAAATGTGCAAGTAGTAAATGATCATTAATGTGTTTGTAGCTGTAACACTGTGTATAGCAAGTGCACTCGACGTATAAGTGATAAGTCTTGGTGTTACGAGAGTGATCGGTAAACAATTTATGCTCAATTGTATGTACTTTTTGTCCATCATACATTCATACAATCATACCGATCGACCTAATCATACTATAATATTTCAGAAAACTGATCTGAATTCTTTATATGGCTTACTTGAAATCGGTCAGTTCACGTCTTAAGATTTCTAATTTAAATTCCGAATAATTCAACGTTTGAAAATTCCGAAATGTCAAGATATTCAAACTAAATTTATAGTTGTTTTGGGAGGGGACGGGGCCGGTGCTAGGTTTTGCTAGGCCCTGGGCAATATATTCTGGAGGTCGCTGTAAACAGCTTTTACAAATCAATACTGAAAATCAAAAATATACATTATACTATAAATTTATAGAATGATCTTTGTCGTTGACCATTTGTTTTTGATAATCACTGAACATTATAATATAACCATTTAACCATACAACTAATATATGAATTTTATTATTTTTGAATGAATAAATTATAAACAAGCATATAAAATAACATCAATATACTACTTTTTAAATTGTATTTAATACAAGCGTCACATTTTGATAAAATACGAATAATACAATATTGTTACTTAAAATCAACTTTATTATGGCAGCAAAATGTTCCATAATGTTTTCGTCATTCATGTTTTCAGATATATAATTTTTTTCAATAGCAACAGTTTCCAGACCACTTAAACGGTCTTGTGACATTGAACTTCTGAGATAATTTTTAATGAGCTTAAGTTATGAAAAATTTTCTCAGCCACCGCTGATATAATGAGAATTGTGAACATAATTCTAGTGTGCAGAGTGCTTGCATTGAAGTTTTGGATAAAGTTAGATTGACCAATGACCTTAGTTCAATCTATTGTGATTTATGGTGTTCCCTTTTAGGCATTACTACGCCCATTGCCCACTATTTTTTTGATATAAATTGAGCATTTTAGCAAATCCAGATTTTTCGATTGCAGAGCATTACATTACAGGCTCTAATAATTTAGAGTATTTTGCTTTAAGGATAACACTAATATATTATTCTAATATGAAATATGTAGTTACCACCAAAAAACTTTCTCATGTAGTCATGTCCATCGTGTACAATAATGAAAAATTTAAATGTTATTTGGTAGAGTTTATTTACTCAAACACAGAATGACAGGTACTGCTGCACTATGTCTAACAAGTAACAGGTAATATGCGTCTATAGGTTTTAAAAAAGTGATTGGTATAATATTTTAAAATATCGACATTATCGCTGTCAGTTTGAGTAAAAGTTGATATTTATACATAAAGCACAAAACGATCAGCTTTAATCTCAAATAATTTAATAATCTACAAATAGACCAATTGATAAAATATAAAACGATTACACGTTTAGATTACACTCGGTTCCACTAAACTATTTTTAGACTTCATGTTCTATATCTTATTTAAAATTTTGATTTTAATGTAAAACATTCACGTTTGGTATAAATCACCGGTTCCCAATCTTTATAGTTGTGTGGACCATTAATTTTGTAAAAAAATCGTTGAGGCCCACAAACAGCACACCTATATACGTATTTAAATATGCATACATATATGTACGTCAGTTATTAGAAATAAAAGAATATTATAAAAACGATTGCTTACTAAAAAAAAATTTTATTCAACTGAATTTACTGAATCACAAGTTAAACAATTTAATGTGATTTTTGACATTGCTTGTCCTCCTGGTTCACGGGCTCACAGCCCAACTGCTAGAAGCGCACAGTGCACCAGTGGGCCCCGGCCCGCAACCTTTAGACGCTGGTATAAAAAAATAAAATTAATTTTGAGGTGCAGGGGGAAGTGCACTCTGCTCCACCTTGTTAGGCCCATGCGAATGTACTTTATATAGTTCCCAATACATTTTTTGAAATTTCTTGTTTGGAAATGTTAATATTTTTATGCTCAACATGTTGGTGAAATCAGAATCTACTCATCTTACTTACTTTTTTTTCACTGTTATAGACCCCGTAAAATTTAACTATAGGTTTTACCATTGATTTTATTATATATATATTTTATTTTTTATATCTTTTTTTTATATATATTTTATATTTTTTATATTTTATTTCATATATTTTATACTATAAAATCAATGGTATTACGTAGTTTATTAACAATAAAAAAAAGTAAGGAAGGTAAGTAAGTTCTGATTTCACCAACACGTTGAGCATACAAATACCAATATTTCTTAAAAAGAAAATCTCCAAAAAATTAAATTCTTAGTATTTTAAACTCAAAAACCACAATATTTATAAAATCGAGCATTTTGAAGCGTTTTGACCATAACTTTTATTGTAATAATTTGTTATTATGTAGGTGTTAATCCTTAAAAATGTTTTTAAGTCTTTATTTTACTGAATTTAATGCAAGCACTGTTTACCAGGAGCTCTAAGAAGGCCGATTTCTTAAATAATTCTGTGTAGATTTTACAGGTACTTCTATAGCGGTCACCAGGACGGTTTATAGTACCAGATTGCGCCTGTATACGTTTATAAGTGTCTCCCAAGCTGCAGCTGATACCTTGCATGTTGATATCAATACGTCTTGATAATACAAATAAAAAGCACGGTTGTATATCTACAACCGTGGTAAAAAGTAAAAAGCCTTGTTTCATTATCTATAATATTTATGTTATGATGCCTTATTGCCTTGTATGTACTGAGTAGTAAATTGTAAGTCTTTTGAGTTAAGTGTATTGGGTATTTAAGTTTAAGCAGAAACCTAAGTCTCATTTAATAGTCATTAATCACCATTTAAATATTAAATAATCACAATTAGAATGGCTGTTGATTCAAAATACGCTCATTTAAGTGGTATTGTAAGTATACATTATTAGTTATTCAGCATCCACAGGTTACAATATTATAATAGTTTGTGGGTTTAGGTATCCACTAAAATAATTAAGAATGTAATTATAGATTTTTAAAATTATGCTGCTTTCTATGTTATATCATATAACCAAATAGTTATTATGTCTAATAAGTAATATTTATTACATATTTAATACCTTATGTAGATGAGTGATTCTAATCACTTAAACAAAATATATATAATATATCATTTAAAATATCAATAAACATTTTAGAATAGCTATAGAATTACAGTTTAAATACAATTGATGATAATAAATGTACTGTTCATTATGCTAATTTGGTTATTTCAATATCAAGACCCTATATTTACCAATTTTTTTTTCAAGGCTTATGACCAACCTGATGTCTATGAGACTTTTGAATTACCAGAAGATGACCAACAACTTGATTACGCAGAAGAGGTAAGGTTTAATATGTTTATATGTTTATATGTGTATGTTATACTGTTTTCATAGTATGGGAATCATATGTGATTAGGGATAAAGGTAGGGCAATTTTTTATTACCTTTTTATAAAATTAAAAAGACTTGTGTATTGTTTAAAATCATTAAATTATTCAACATAAATGTTTCCATACTAGTGTAGCAAGTATTGTTCTTGGGAAAGAATAAGCCTTTCAAAACCTTTTAAAGCGAAATTATTTAGTATCATGGGTATCATAAAACATTATACTTAAACTATGTTTGTGGCCTTGTAAAAATATTTGAATTCCATGAAAGGTTACTTTAAAAAATTTAGTAGTTCAAACAAAAAATGTACATTAAAACATCATCGACCAAAAACAATATACAAATGCATTCAAATTTAAGTCCAATATTCCAAAATGTGTAATTAATATAATTGAAATACTATTCAATATAGGACAATGAAGATATTGAACGTGTTAAATTGGTTCCAACTGAAGCTTATAAGCACTTTAAAGACAAAGTTGTCAGCTCAGACAATATAGACTTTTCTGATAAATTGGGCAGATCGCTAAAAACTGGATATAACTCTAAGTAAGTATTTCCAAATTGTATTTACTGGTTTGCATTTAATTTAACAAGATTATTTTAAAATTTTTAAAGCCAACTTTGGGAATTAGCTGCACAAGGAGAAAAAGAAACTCCACTGCAAAAGTATTATAGATTGAAGTTGGAAACTGAAGAATTGGTTCAAGAAATAAGTTCTTTGCAGGTTAATTTTTGCTATAATAATTTATATAGTACCTGATTTAATTATACTTCATTTTAGATATGATCAGAAAAATCTGATTCAATTAAAATCACATTCTTTTTATTACAATAATATTTACCTAATAAATTATAATTTAAATTCTATTTGTTTCATATAGCAGCACGGCCATATTTACAATTTTTGTGCCTTGGGTCAACCATAATTTTACCCCC